AGCATTAACCCAGGACCCCAACCCTAGCACAAAAATCAACCCTATATCCGTAAGTCACAGTTTTTTATTCCTAAAAATCCCACAGCATTGAACTTGATCTTCACATCAAGCTGACAGCCAATATAAGAGTCCCCTAACAGAAATCCCCAAGGGAGGAATGGAAGCGCGATTGATGCTGTGTCTCTTATCTACCTGGCCAGCACTGGTGCACCTCTGAGGTCAGGTCCGTGACAGTCACCCCCACACTAGGATCCTGGAAGGGTGGGCTGGCAGCTTCCCTCATCTTCCCCCTCGAAGTTTGTCCAATAAGCACCTGGGAATTGACTTTTCTTAGGAAAAGGGTGCTGGTAACAGCTGTCAGGGCCAAGGCAATAGTGAGAAGTTCAGTTCTCTGCTCTTTGGATGAACTGTGTAAAACATTTCTTTTAAAAGACACAATGTTAAAAATATTAAGAAAAATGTCTACAAAATCTGGAGGGCTGCCTTTTTCACAAAGGATAAAGCTTGTGGGGTGGTGGGAAAAGGATTGAGGGCCCAGAACCAGAACTGCAGCCAGAGAGAGATGCCCTTCAAAACTGGTCACATTCTTAAGATGCCTTGCTGAAGTAGCAAGAGCTGAGGGTGACGTATGAGGAGGAGCAGGAGGGGCACAAACTCCAGCAGGGGAGGTTCCTACTGCGCCCCACCCTGTGCGAGGATATCAAGCTTTAGGGCAGCTGCCACAGGCCCTGGGGACATCAGGATTCTGCCTCAGAACCAGAGCTGGTTTCCCGACTAACTTCAATCTGGAGAGATAGTAAGTTATCTAACCGGCTCTTCTTTTGGCAAGACTGTTCTTTCTCCTTAATCAGAGGACCCCCATGCCCTTTGCAGCTCAGAGTCATCTTCCTCCATGCCAGGTGCCCTGTGATCCACCTTCTTCATATTCTTTTCTTTGGTCTTGGGTGTAGATCCTAAATGAGTCCATAAGCTACCTGATTTCTTCTCCTGAGTATCAGAGTAGAGGCCCTTAACATCTTGCCTGGGAACACCTAGTCTACTATGTACATCTGAAGAGGGCTCTTTCCGAACCACTGGAATACTACTAAAAGCCTTCTCTGGAGAATACGGTCTTTTTCCTAACCGCTGGCGTATATCTGATTTATACTATCATTTAAATTTTTAAGATGAGTATGTATTTTGTTCCATTTTTTTTGTTTTGTTTTGTTTTTTTGGTACCGGGGATCGAACTCGGGTCCTTGCACTTGTGCAGCAGGTGGCAAAACCACTGAGCTAAATCCCTGGCCCTCCATTTGTATTATTAAAAATAAGCATAAATCAAATGAGTGACATTATGACTTAAAGTACACTTATTCTTTATCCTATATATTCTATAAACGATTTAAAATATGTACTGTATGTATGCATGCACTTCCAAGGATTATCTTACAATACAAATTGGTAATATTCATTACACAGTCCTACCAGTACTCTTTCTTAAAATATATGCTGCAACATTATACAGTTTTTTTTTTGTTTTTTGTTTTTGGTACCAGGGATTGAACTCGGGTCCTTGTGCTTGCGCAGCAGGCAACAAAACCACTGAGCTAAATCCTTGGCCCTCATTATACAGTTTTTGATAAAGATACATCAACATAATTAAAGTCTAAAACAGAACACAAGTGAATTTCCTTGATATTTAGTCTAAGTCTTCAGATCTTTATCTTCTGATTCACTTAGGGTCTCATTAAATAGGATACAATGGTTGAGCCACATTCTTTTTCTGTAATTATATGTCTTAAGTACTTTAACGGTACCTAGAATCCAACAAACCCTAATATTGCAGCCTTCTCCCAAAAAAGCTACTAAAAATGTCCAGAGGCACATCTCTACTCTTGCTTTGCTTGCAAGGAGGGAACGATATAGGAGTCACTGTATTCAAAATTAGAGTACAGAATTACAACCCAAAGAGTGTTTTTTCATTCTTCTTCCACTTAGCCTCTATTTTTTAACTCTTTGCACTGATCATTCACATTCACAACCAGCTGCATTATAAGCTTTTAAACATTCCCCCCTACATATTGTGTGCTTCCTTATGAATCCCTCAGTTTCCTGTGTCTTTCCCCCCAAAACTATCACCTTCAAAACATTTGAGAAAAGAAGAGGAAATGTTTTTATAAAGGTCAACGTGTGATCTTAGGTAGTGAAGTTTATAACAAGACAGCTTTTTCACTTATTTTAGATTTGTAAGGAAAATACTTTCACTCTACTTATAAGATAGTCTAAAACAGACCAAGGGAAAGACCAAAAGCTGATGACTGACTTCCAGGATTTTACTTTTTCCACGAGAATTTGTCATAAAGTCTACATGCCCACACTGTCCAACACAGCAGCCACTAGCCACTCCCTAGGTAATGAAGGTTTAAACTATGGCCTCACCCGAAAGATGTGCCATAACTGTGACACCATGTTTGAAAACCTTAGTACAAAAAAGGAATGTAAAAATAGCTCATTCGTTTATGTATTATTCTACATGTTAAAATGATATACTGGATATACAGGGTTAAACTATTTTATTTCAAAAAATGCTAATTTCGCCTCTCTAGCTTTTAACATTACACGCGCAGCACTGGTCTAAGTCACTGGGGGCACACAGCGAGCGAGAACACCTGCTTCGTCCTCCCACTCGCGATTCTCAACTGCTTCTCCAACAGCCGGGAACACCGTTAACTCCGCCAAGGCCTGGCGTAGTCTAATTGAGCCCTGAGTCTCGGGCTGTGGGGTAAGGGAGGTGATAAATAAAGGTGCGGCTCGGTCCATACCCACTGCAAATCTCGCAGCGCGGCCTCCCGAATCTCCTCTGGCAACGCGTCTCCGAGGTTTGGCACGAAGCGGCCGCACAGTTCTAGAATTTCCGTCATGGCCCGCTTCGAGGTACAGCGCACTCGGAAGTCCTCTCGGGGAGTAGTGGGGACGGAGGCCTGGCTGGCTGTCGCTGTTGCTAACGCTTCGTCCAGCGGAGGGGCGATGACAGCTGGCTTAGAAGCCCCCGCCATTTTTCTCGTTTGAACTGGAGGCGGGGACTCTGGGAGCGGAAGGGCGTGTTCTCGCTGGTGCAACAGCACGCTTCCGGTCGGAAACGGCGGGCATTGCCACAGAATAGTTCCGGATCCTGCTCCGTAGACTTGGGGGTGGGGAATAGGACGGCAGCTTCAGCTGCGGCCATGGGGGCGGCGAGCGTGGGGCTGGTGGATTGTCACTGCCACCTCTCCGACCCGGACTTCGACAGCGTATGTGAGGGCGAGGCGGGACTTAGGGGAGTGGGGAGGTCCCCGTCTTTTCCCTGCAGATTTTCTTTTCTCTGTTCTTTTAGCACATTGCCCCACATTCCCCTCAGGCTCTTGTCTATGGCCCTTTGTGATCTGCCTGATATCGTATTTAACCTCAACCACACTGAGTTTTCTTTCTGACCCAGTAAAGTGTCTATCTCCACAAAGCTTGTATTGGCCGTTCCTGGTTCCTGGAGTCCTTTCTCTTACCCTCTGGGGGTTGAGCTGTTTATCCCCGGGAATTGGTCACCCACTGCTTTCGCGCGCCCCAGTTCTGATGGGGAGAGAGACAAACAAAACGCACAGGAACACACACAATCAGTTACAAAGTGTTTTTGCACGCTTGATTGGAAGCTAGACACTAATAATAGAGAAGGAAGAGTAGGTGTCATAGTTTCAGGGGAAAACTTTTTAAGAGGCTAGGAAAACAGAGGCAGCTGAGCAAGGGGTGAGTTAGGGTGGTGAGGAAAGCAGGCAGGCTGCAGCTCCCAGAAGGGATGGAATTTGTGCCGTTCCTGTTACCAAAAGACTGGAGCCTGATGAGTTTAGGAGCAGGAATGAAACAAGACTGGAGAAGTTTGCAGGAGAGCCGGATGGGGGATATCAGTGAGATAGGCCAGTAAGGAATTTGGATTGAATAAGACACACAATTTTGATCGATTAAAGGTGAGGGTTTTAAGAGAAAGACAAGATCGGAGAGCCGTATGAAGACTGTTCTGCTGCGCTACAGCAAATGGAGGGGAGTGGAGTTAGAGGCTGTTGCAGTATATAGATAAAGAGGGAGGTGAGTTGTACTATGATGGCAGAACAGGAGAGTCTGAGAGAAGTAGATGTAGTCATGGTACATTGTAGAGATGGAGTCCATGGGATACTAGAGATGACAGTTTAGAGATGGAATCCACAGAACATGTTAAGGAATTAGATGTGGAGAACAAGAAAAAAGGAAGAATTGAGGATAGCTCGTTTTTAGCTTGTGCTGTGAAAAGATGGTAGTCCTGTTTACTGAGATAAGTGAAGAACAAGGTTTGGGGAGGGGGGAAATGGGCAGAAGGAATAGGTTGTGGGGAGAACAGACTTGTGTTTGGGACAGATTGGAAAGCCTGATTCCATCCAAGTAGAGAGGTCAAATGATCATTTTAAAATGTAAGTCATGGGTTCAGGAGAGTTATAAGCTGGAGATAAAAATTAGGGGTTCAACAAAGTGATATTTAAAACCATGAGAA